GTAGTTTGTGCCTAAATATCAAATAATGCATTATGCAATACTAGTTAGACGAACAAGGCAAACTCCTCTATTGTATTAGAATAATAATTTTAGACAGATGTAAAGCCGGTTGGTTATTCCGCCTGCCTTCGAATTAAACCCAATGGAGTACCTCGTGAATCCTAGTTCATCCCTGTCAGTTTCTTGGAGATCCGATAGTTACACTTTGGAAGGTCAACTTTCTCTGGAAAATATTTGCCCGTTTAAATATTTTAATTTAAAGGGCTTAGTACGAGTTCGTTTTTTTTAAATAATCCAAACCAGTACGCGTTCGAGTCTAATTGGCAGGCTCCAATGAACCAGCCAATCAGAGCGCCGAACGCGGTCTCTAAACGTAAAACAAGCTCGTAAGGCTTTTGATCTATTCGTTGCAGTAAAATCAATGTTTTATATTTCTTAGTCACGATCATTTTGCAACATTTACCACTAATAGGGTTGAGTGCCCAGAAAATATTAGATTGTAGATGAAGATTCCGATTTCATCACATTTGGCATACCGCATTAGAAAGAAAATGTCTTAAATTTTATTTTAATTAGTCTCGAAAGCAATAGAATTTGAACCATTAAGTATAATAGACATTTATGGCAGACAGTTTAATTGGATTGAGCTTATAAATTGTAAAGAAAATAATAACAAATATTCACGAATGACTGAAGAAAATATAGATATTGATGCAATTTCTATTTGCATCAAAATAGATGAATGGTTCCGAGAATGAAACGGTGTCGGTTCTAAGAAAAAAATGTGATTTTGTTTGGATAGGACTGTCCACGTTGCCAAGTGTCATAGAAACATAAATCTCATTGTTTTACCAGCTGCCCTGTCCTGATTTCACTTTGTGGGAACGAGTAGCATTTCACCCTGCGCACATGATATTCCGACACAAGTTTAGGAGTAATTTTCTACCACAATCAGATACCAGACAGATTTACGAAGTTCAAAAAGTGTTAAGAATACCAGGAAAAACTTCGCTTCTTTCTCATATTCAGTTCCCACTTGCAATGTTTGAAGGTAACTAGAATATTTTTATGCATGCGACCTATTTCCGAGCACTGACATTTAAACAACATATGGTGCGCAATATGTATTCAGATATTTCAGGTGAGGTCAACGACCGCAGGATATGGTTGTGACGAGGTTATAGTGTTGCGCTTTGCTCATTCACTTTAATGTGCTGCATACACGAAATAGTGTTTTTGGTGAAGTAATATTAAACTTATGTTTATAGATATGTATAATACATACCTAGTCTATGTATGTTTACTGACGTAGTAGATTGTGTTTTGTGCGTGGCTTTGTTTGCTTTGATAGGACAAAACGGAAATAGAACCAAATTCTATCATTAACTAGCAATTTTGATTTAATCATCTAGCTACTTAGTGCTTCCGTTCGCAGAAACGTCTTCGGACAGACTAACGCTAAAATACTCAATCAAACGCCATTCAATTTTATGTCGCGCTTAAGTACCTATAGTTCTGTCACTACAATTTTTTTGTAACATGACAAAGATGGCACTATATTCAAGTAACTACAACTTTCGAAGCCTTTCAGTAGTAGGGCGTAAATACTTTTAGCAATAATTTAAGTCACAACAAAAGTCGGTATTACTAAATGGGCATGGGAAATCTTCCTCTAATTATTAATTATGCCATTCTGTATCCACACCAATACACATGGGTTCGTGTGGTGGATTACAGATTAGACATCGGAGAAGTTCCGAACACAGAGTCCCAATTTAGGCAATGGTTAGAAATTATTATTTATTTGGTATCTATATAAATGCGCATATAAATTTTTATCTAGTTACAAAAAGGAACAAATCTACTTATATTTTTATGAATTAAGAATTATTTTTAATATACATAACTCAATATCATAAAACAATAAAGGAAAGGTAGGTAAGTAGTTACATATATCCCATTCGGTGTTTTTGTTGATGGTGCAGAACCCTTTGTGTGCAACTTTTCTTAATAATCTTAGTAGTTTAGTTTAGCAATCTCAAGGAAATTTTGTTTTTTAAAACATATTTTACTTTGCTGCTAGCTGACCTTAGCAAACTTCGTACCGGCTAAGTTTTGTTCTTTCACCTTATAAACCTTCCCTGGATTTAAATTGAAATTCATTTTTATATATGTAGATTTAAATCCATTGTTAAGTAAAGTTTACGACAATGAACTAATAAATGTAGCAACAATAGGTACCTACCTGATTACCTAAGTGATTTTTTGAACACTCAATTTTCTAGCGAATAATAAATACGCACAATATGTAATTTTGCAACATAAATCACTACATATTATAAAACATGTCTGTCCCTATGTGGGCTCAGATCTTTAAAACTACGCAACCGATTTTGATGCGGTTTTTTTTAATAGATGGAGTAATTCTTAAGGAAGGTTTATATGTATAATACATGCATATTGCACCCGTCATATTTATGATTCCTTTTTACATACCTACCTACTTTGATTAAATTTGTAAACACTATTTTGCATGTGTTTTGTTCGCGAAAGTTCACAAAGTTATACTTTTTGATAATATGTGTACCTAAAAAAAAACAAAATTATAAAAATTGGCTAGATAGTTTACAAAACGCTGTAACATTAGATATCAAATATATCTAATAGTTAAAAAAGAACTGTGATAACTTTATTTAATAAATTTTATCATAGTACTTAATTCATTTTTTTTTTTATGTTTAATTAAATGCATGTTCTCACCACATGTGATATTTAGTCATAAAACATTTTATTAAGTTCATATTAATTTACAATTTATCATGAGTACTGCAACAATAAAAATGTTATTAATGTTGTCTATCAGTTGCACCATGTGTGTGTTTATAGCCCATTCGCTACACAACAAAAATGACAAGTACAAGTATTAACTCTGTCTGTCATTTTAATGTGATTTGGTTTAAATGTGTAGGGTTTCTGTTACTGTTCATGTTAAATAAATACAATACAATATCTGCTTATAAAGTGTACATGTTGTATTTTGTATTTACACATGCTGCCAGTAGACATGTTAATATTTGTTAAAATGCTAGCATTATTTTTTGACATAACTGAATTAATGAGTTTATGTCATAGATATATTAAAGAATATTTCTGTGCTTTATGTCTTGCAACTTGCAACATTACTTTGGGAACTATTTCTTGTCTGTGTATGCCTGAGACATGCTGTTTTTATGTAACCAGTTTTGTACTTATCAGTTAAAAATAAATTAAATTCATACTAGTTAGATAAATAATTAACTGCTGATCTAAACATAGATAAACCACAATTTTATTTATAAAATTAGTTTAATTTGAATAAATCTCTAAAAACAATTATAGAAATATATTTATGAATTCATTATTAATTAAAATTATTTACTGATAAAACATATTTCCATTCATTGTTTAATTTTATGGCAAAAACTAGATGAGAATTATATAAACTGTCAAACACCAAGCGGTCACCGGTGACCGCAACCTATTGTTCTATAATTGTGTCTACAAAACCGGTACTCGACGAGTTAATTAGTTTAAAATGTTTTTGTAAGGTAAAAATATATTTTAATAATTTTCCTCAATTTGATATTATTAAAGGTCAAGCGATAAATCTGCCTGTGCTTCGATAGGAAATAAATGGCTATTACAGATTTTGAAACACAATTAGGTATAATAGAGAAGACCTATTATAGTCCAACAGTGGTCCGTAATAGTCATTGATGATGACTTATTTCGGTCTAGTTAATGAGTCTAAGTGTAAGTTTTTGCTAAAAAGGTAAGTTGCTATTTTAGTTTCTACATTGAAATACTTATAAAAACTTTTCTCTAATATAGGAAGTCTAAGTAGTAGAAGTAGGATAACTACCTGCCATAAGAGGAAAATTTGATTACCTAATTCATATTTAACTACTATAAAAATGTTATAGAAGTTACCTAATAATAAAATTTTCCCTAATAATAAAATTTTCCTTACCTGTATAGGTACCTTATTATTACGTAAAACCTAATTTATGTAGGTAGGTGTTCATCTTATTCTTTATTTTTGTCTTAATAATAATAAGTACTACTTTTTAATAGATTTTACTAAATTATTCAAATCTCTAATAGGTCCTATAGTACCTACAGATCTAAGAAATAATAAGTAGGTATAAAAATACCATGTAGGTATAAGGTATAAATATACTTAAAGTACCTATTAAGAGTTCTGGTTATTCAAGTAGTCATTTTATCAATTCCCATAAAGAAATTGTTTGTATATAAAATGATAACACAAAACAGATTCATGATAAAATTATGAGAATGAATTAGATTTCTGGCAACTATTACATGCATCAGAATTTTATGACTAATAACAGCTGCTATTCTTATTAAAATATTATTATGTATGTGAAGAATAATAATGTCAGGTGACTGAATGCTAATTCTTAGATATTTTTAATTACACTAACCTAAGTAGGTTTTAAGTTACAAAACTTGTACAAGTCACTCAATTCTTTAATTCCTTTGTCAATTTATTTGAAAGTTTAAAAAAATAGTGTAACTTTTTTATTTATACGATATTTAGGCCAACGTGTAGGTGAAGGAGGCAGGCACGAAGTTACAAGACAGGTTATAGATAAGTTTACTTAACTGTAAATACTCGTGTTCTTGTCACGAAAACTGCACCGGGCCCTTTCTCAATAACAACTGAACGACACTGGAGCATTGATTTGAAGTAACCCGTTCACTAAGAAAATGTTTTTATTCATATAATTACGAGAATATGCCGCACGACTCATGTTTATGTAAATAAGATCACAAAGAAAGTCTTCAGCAAATATTAACAGAGTATTTAAATCATCCATCACGAGACATTACTCCCAAACATTATGATATTCCTGGTTGAAGTTCAGGACGTCTTTTGACTAAAACCTGTAGATTTATTAAAGTTTATAACTTAGAAATTGTCATTCAAAGTAGCTTACCTTGTACTTCGTTTGTTTCAACGCCAAAAAAATAAAATAAACAATATTTTAATTCATAAACAAAACACTACATATAACGACAGTCACACACCAATCCACAATCCAGTCAACTCAACAGCACGATTCCCAAACTTGACCCATCCCGAGTCCCGGAGAGCGATACTTGCCAAAACATAAAACTAATTTCTCTGTTCAATACCAGCCACGAAAATATTTCCTTAGAAAAAAACTAAATTGCTTAAAAATTGTTATTTATGCACAAAATCGATACCATTTTTTTATAAATATTATTGTATTTTTATTTAATAGTATTTTTTATTAAATTACAAATTATGGTGCCACGGAACCGTAGCGAATATACCTGTAGCGTCATCTGTTATCTGTTTTTATTATTTTCACGAATTCGGATTCAACGCCATCTCTCCACCAAAATTGTAACTATCGTTTTCTGAATACAGAAACATCTGTTGGACAATTTTCGTACTACAATTTTTTACAGCGCCATCTGTTGACGTTCTACACAGTGAAATAAATTGACATCTAGTGGTGAGTAGAAACAACTTTTTATTAGCGCCATCTAGTAGTGAGTAGCTCGATGAGATAGTATATTTAATGATCACTAGATGGCAATGCTAGTCCGTCTGCGTAGATTTATTGCAGGAAAAATAATCATAATTTAATATTGTATAAAAAGCTGCAGTAGTTTTAACTACCTACAAAGATGCCTTTTAATCTCCAAAGGGCTACATGTATCTACTTATCATTTTTATAGAGCAGGGTAGGTAGTCAGTTAGCTTCAACAACGTCTATCGTATTATAACCTAAGGAATCAACTTGAAGGAACTGTTAGGTAGTAAATTATGCTATTGGTTACGTTTTGTTTCCATGACGAAGTATCTACTTAAGTTGGTAGGTACTCGCGAAGACACTTGTGCAAAAACGTACCTACAAAGATATACTTTTTTATTTTTGTTGGGCCGACGTTTGACCATTACCTACCATGACTGGTGGTAAGCGTTGATGCGGTCTACGATGGAGCACGTTGTGTCTATGACAACCCGAAGCATTTAGCAGTTTACTACTTACTGGATTGTGAGTTTCGTACATAAGTACCTAATAGGTGGAGTATTATAATATTTTATCTACATATTTTTTGCGACACAATAATTAGGGTGTTATATTTTATTTAAATAAAAAACGCTGTACCTACATGACACCTACGCCACAACCTTCCAAAAAGGTTCGCCGTCATAAACCGCTCGCTTAGCAGGTGGGTTGAAGAGTGCAGTTTAAAAGGAACTCTAAAGAACAGGCTTATCAAAGGTCACTGCTGCCAGAACGAAGTCTCAGAATCTGTTAAATGTAGGTTTAGTTCCTTGAGTCGGCTTGCACGACATTCACAGGTGGAGTAGGGCTTTTGATGAGGAACGTATCTCTGCACCCTACGGTTTAAGGATTATTATAGGCAAGAACCAACACTGCCAACCAACAATCCTAATTAACACTACCAACCAACACTCACAGTCAACACAGCTATGATATACATGAAAATTTTTCATTAATTTGAATAATATCTTAAGATTTACATCTCTAAATTAAGTTTCTATGTAAACAACAAGTAAATTGTCACACTGTCCATCCAGAACGTCATAGTGGAGCATATGCTGATATTCCCAGCGCTGGGCGTGTCCCTCTCTAACGAGCTGTCATACGTTTGTGACAACTGGCGACGTTGACGGCCTATCTCTGAGCTTTATCTATTTCAACGGGATACGGCCCGTCGCGTCGCCCATAGCCATCACAGCCCGTTATTTTTGTTTCAAGATTTTAATCTAAGATTGTCTATTCGATGACAATGTAGTATCAACCGAAAATATGTGCTACTAGCACATATTTTTTTGGCATTATTGTAGAAAGAAGTACCTACCTATATTTATAAACACTTTTTCTTTAGGTAGATATGTAATAGGGATTTTTGGTAGGTGTACAGCTACCTATAGCTATACTTCTTTTGTCAAGGTTTACCGTTTAGGATTTCCACGTGGATAAGTAACAGTAATTCTTATATTTTCTCATTGCTACGAATTAAGTACATTTGTACTGGATTAAGTACCAACTACACGTCATGTACTTGTACACGTGCTTACAATGCTTACTTTTTATGTCCTAAAAATGCAGTTCCTATTGGTATTTTCGCATAATTTTACGGAATTAAAATCAAAGAAACTGCGGTGAAACTACGATAGAGTCAGATGCATGCTGGGTGTGGAAGCGGGCCACGTGAGCAGGACACGTGAACCATGGCCACACCAGCCTCCCTGCCACCCTCAACTCCCCAGCCTTTATAAATCCAGCTTTTGTCATAATTTTCCCTTTAAAAACTTCCCGCCATTGTCTACGCAAAACTCCTGAAGTACACGTTCAAGTTGAGGTAAAACAATCTACTTTATATGGACTCCCTTTTATTTATAACGAGAATGAAATTGTGCGCGCAAATAAACTGCCATGAATTTCACTATCCGCCTTAAACGTTTTGACAAGCGTATACATTTGCATTAAGTCGTCGTCCGCTCATCGAGCCAGAAAACTTACAATTAATATTAAAACATGCGCAATAAAATAAAGCCAAGCAGTCGGAAAGTATTCGCGTCACTCGAGCAGTGCTTTTGACATGGCTATTATTTTAATGGAACATTATAATGTTCTAAGTGCTCGGGTGTTGCGTTGGGAGTTTCCACCTTGTGGGGTGTGTTTTACAGGTAGTAATTCCTTGCTTATGCTGAAGTGTAAGTCTGTAAGATGTTGGGGCGTTCATGACTATCCTGGGCTATGAGCACAGGGTTGCAATTGATACAGTTCTGGATATTGTTCTCGTCCGTACTATAGACACAGTTTCTCGGCTCAAATGCCGGCTGAGTACATAATATTGGTATATTATGTGCGCACGAAATCACAAACATGGATTATAATAAAACAATATTACATTAGTATTCGTTTACCTACCTGAGCTACATAAATATATTATACGGTGCCTCCAGGCTACGACAAAACTTTACCTAGGTAGGTAACTGGGTATACATTCTTATAGCTAAATATTATTGCAATAGTGTTCATATTATTATACGACATTTTTCATTCGAGTTGAAGTAAGTACCTGATAAATATGAGTATTTAGCTACGGTAATACACGTGCAAGCTGGTTTAATCAGTTTTACACTGGCCCAACAACTTGCAGTTTATGCAATTATTTTCCTAAACACGTGTTTTAAAAATAGGTTTTGTAATAAAATTGCATAAGATTTTCGCATGGTAAAACAATAGGTTATATAGTAAATCGTTTATGCAGTGCAAGCATGAAAATATAATGTGTAGATATTAGTGAAAATTGGAACGGATACTGAAAAAAAACGAATACCGTTTACTGAAAAATCCTAACCTAAATATCTTAATACATACTAAACTTGAATGTTTATATTACGAACCTAATAGTCAAGTAAAAGAAAAAAGGTCTGGTTTGTTTTACACTCCATTTTTACATTATATAAAGATAAATGTTTACAAAATATTTTCTTCAAACCAAATACATATAACAAAGATGGCGCCGTGCATACGCTTGTAGGGAATAGAGATGATCAGCATTTGACCCGCAATCAAGCGGAGTGCACCCGCAGTACATACATATACCTTTATATGTAAATACAAACCCGACGGAGTAAGATTTCTAATGTAATTGACAGCAAAAAGATTGTTTCGGACCTCGAATGTTCCGAGTCGGTGAATTGACCGTTGAATTTAAATAATGAACATGTACCTACTGGGTGCGTTCATTTTATTATTTCGTTTAGTCAAGATTTTTTCTTTATTTTAATTCAATTTCAAATTCAGTATTGCGATGTTTACTCAGACAAATGAGATAATTTGTTGTTGTAAAATATATGAGCTTTAATTGCAAGGTGTTGCAAAACCATACAAGGGTCGCCATACCAAAAAAAAAAACAAAGAAAATACAGCTAGCTAGCTAGCCTGTAAATATACAGTTTATAAGAAATTCTAGCAGTAGCCGTGTAACCAGGTTTCATCTAGTGATTACATGGGGCGTCAGGGAATTCGTTGTTACAGGCGACCTACATTTCGTCCTATATACTTTAGCGATGCACTGGTGCACACGGAAAACAGTTTCAATTACAATAATTTAGTCTTGCCACAGTCCCACGACTCAGCACTAGTTATGTATCGAGTTTGCAATAGCCATTTCATTTGAGGAGTTCTCTTCAAGTGGAAGGACATGGCCGTCCTCCCGAGATTTAGATCCATTCCATCGTATTAGTAGATTGGATCGCCGTCAGCCACTATAAAAACCGCCCCGAAGCATTCCACCACTTCATTGAACAATACTTTTTGTTTTATTTAAATTCTGTTTACTTGCTCAACGTTGGAATTAATTGATATTGGCAAGTTCACCTCTACGCGCCAAGAGCGGTGAGATGAAAACTGAAATTACAAGCACAAGGTATTGAAGTCTGCCGTGAACGATTAGATAGCTCGTGTGATACACAATCTTATATTACATAACCAAATAATAACATGGCAGAATGCTACATTATTAAATGAATTCGAGATAGAAAATTATTACAGAGAAACGAATGTGAAATTGTTAGCACGATAAAACATTTATAATGTTAATTGTGTAATTCACGCATTAATTCAAACAATAGTCGTGGGGTGTCGCGAGTGTCACCACGAGTGTACGACACAGCCCGGGAAGGGTGAACGTAGCCCTCACTCAGTTTATTACTACCATGACTTGACATTTATTATCAGTTATGAAAATAAATTTCTCGTCGTGAAATAAAGGGAAAAATAAATTAAACTCAGTCGACCGCAAGGAAACGAGTTTAAGACTTAATTGTATAATATATTTGACTAAAGGGCCGTTGTTTGTTGCACTTTTATTGTATTAAGTATTTTAATAATCTGTTTTGCTCTACTTGTGCATTTTGTATGCGAATGTGGCCCTTGGCAGGAGATTGTTGGACTTAACGGTTTGTTTTATTGTCGACAAAATTTGGTGTTAATGTTCTGCGTAGGTACTTCATAGACAGCTATTAGGAACCGCCATTTTCATTACTGGGGTGAGAGCATCACGAAATGTTAT